ATTCAAACATAAAAAGGATAATAAATCAACGATGAACCAATGTTGTATCCACACATAAGACACCTCAGTGTCTTTAGGCTCTTTCTTACCAGTGTCCTTCTCACATTTCTTTACTGAACCTATGAAAAATGTTAAAGATAACAGAGTTGGAAATAAAATTTTTTAGTATTTTTGCACCAAAACAGTGAATTCCAAAGAGCTGGTATCTGAAAACTCAGCATATTTCAGCAGTGTGACCTTAGTAGCTGAACAGTATCACGTCCGTAACAGGAGTAAAAAAAAAACAATAAAGACACGAGACAGGACCTGGGAGAGGATCCAGACCTCCAGCTGATCGTCTGCTGCTCACTGAAGCCTCATCAGAAATGTGAAGGATGGCTGTCAGCTGATATTATTAAAGAAGGGGAACAGGAGATCAGAGGAACAGATCCAATGAAGAGAGAGTCAGTGTGAACGAGGAGCTCCATCAGAGAGAGTCTGCAGCCATCTGTGAGGCGCGGTGGAGGCTCTGTCATGGTTTCAGCAGCAGGTCAGTCTGTGGTGTTGGACTTCTTTGATGATTGTCATCAGCATGACAATAATCCCAAACACACTATCAGTCACGGATGGTCCTCCCCAGACCCCTGAAGCAGTGTGGGCTCATCCTGACAGGGAACAGAACAACAGGCAGAAACATCCTCAGCAGCAGCTGGAGAACTGCTGCTGAGGATGTTTCTGCCTGTTGTTCCTCACAGAGGGATTAAGGAGCTCACACATAATATACAAACTTATCCTACGTTGGTAAAATTGGTATGGATCGGATCTGGCCCACACGATGAGCTTACACATGGCCCACATGCCGCAAAGAATGACGGCCCACGCGTGGCCCAGATCTGGTTTGCCAGGGGTGGCCCACACATGGGCCAGCACAAGGCCAGTTGCAAACACACAGTTTCAGCTGTGATGTCAGCCTGATGTGTACCTTAATCAAGCCATGTAATAACAACGTGCATAATAGTGTGAAAGTAACAGGACAAAACTCTGTTCAGACAGTGAATCGACTGATCTTATATAACACTTTTCACTATTCCGGATTACTGAAAGTGCTCTATACAGCATGCCACATTCACCCACTTTCTCTAAACTGAGTGCTTCCTAACTACATTCATACACATTCACACTCTTGACATGCAGACTGGAGGAGCCAGGGATCGAACCACTAACCTTCCAATCAGCAGGCTGCTCTACCTCCTGAGCTACAGCCACTCAGTGGTAAACATGAGTAAACCCTCACTATGTTTTGGATAAAGAGTACAGTTTGACACAAACCTGTCAAACCTGTATTTGAAACGTTGGCTACCATAGCAGTATAGTATTGCAACATGGTATTTGGGTCTTCTAACTAAAATAGGAACATAAACAGTGCCATCATTGCCAGACCTGGCCCACATCTGGCTAACATACACTCTGCCATGACACCGGTCAGTCAGAAGTGCCAGCTTGATGCTGGATCCAAGGAAGACCTGCTTTCTATGAGCCTGGGCCACATAACCCGGGCCACATAACCCAAACCACAATCAAGCCAGATATGGCATGACATAACATAGACAGTGCCATCTACGGCAGCTCTGGCCCACATCTGGATGACTTCATTGCCAGGAGTCAGTCAGCAGTGCCGGCTTGATACCAGATCCAGGCCAGACGTGCTTGCTATGTGGGATATAAACAGTTAGAAATACACTGGACACGTGCGTTTGCATGTTTCATCCCAAAATCAAATCACTTTTATTGTCACATCACATGTGCAGGTACACTGGTACAGTACATGTGAGTGAAATTGTTGTGTGCGAGCTTCACAAGCAACAGAGGTGTGCAAAAATACAATAACGTAAAACAAACAAAATATAAGGATGACTAAATCTGAGACTAATAAATATATGTACAATATATAATAGTATATGCATTACTGGATGTGTATACTAAATATGTTTTTCTACGTGTGTGTGTGTGTGTGTGCATATTTTACAAATTAAATAGAGTAAACAATAAAATTAAATATATAAAATATACAGAGGTTGGCAGTTGGACATGTGCAAAACAAGTGGCACTTATATACAGTATGTAGTGCATAATGTTGAAGTTCCAGTAGTGGAGGTGAGGTGTCTATGACGTGTTCAGCAGTCTGATGGCCTGGTGGAAAAAGCTTCTCTCAGTCTGCTGGTTCAGGATCAGATGCTGCAGAACCTCCTTCCTGGTGGAAGCAGCCTGAACAGTTTATGGCTGGGTGACTGGAGTCCTTGATGATCCGCTTTCCTCAGGCACCGCTTCCTGTAGATGTCCTGGAGGGAAGCTCACCTCCAATTATCCGTTCAGAGCACCGCACTACTCTCTGGAGAGCTTTGCGGTTGTAAGCGGTGCTGTTGCCGTACCAGGTGGTGATGCATCCAGTGAGGATGCTCTCAATGGCACAGCGATAGAAGGTCCTGAGGATGCGGGGGCTCATGCCGAATCTTTTCAGTCTCCTGAGAAAGAAGAGGCGCTGCTGCGCCTTCTTCACTGTTTTGTTTATGTGTCCTGACCACGTGAGATCCTCAGCCAGATGTACACCAAGGAAGCAGAAGCTGCTCACTCTCTCCACAGCAGCACCGTTGATGGTGATGGGGGCGTCTACTTCTCTGCACCTCCGGAAGTCCACTATCAACTCCTTTGTCTTTGCGACGTTGAGGGTGAGATGGTTGTCTTGACACCAGTGGGTCAGGGCGCTGACCTCCTCCCTGTAGGCCGTCTCATCACCGTTGGTGATAAGACCCACCACTGTAGTGTCATCCGCAAACTGCACAATGATGTTGGAGTTGTTAGTGGCCGTGCAGTCGTAGGTGTAGAGTGAGTACAGGAGAGGGCTCAGTACACATCCCTGTGGAGCACCAGTGTTCAGTGTGATGGGGGGATGAGGTGATGCTGCCCAGTCTGACCACTTGGCGTCTGTCAGACAGGAAGTTAAGGATCCAGCTGCAGAGGGAGCTGCTCAGTCCTAGATCCTGCAGTTTCCTGTCCAGCTTCGAGGGAACGATGGTGTTGAATGCTGAGCTGTATCTACAAACAGCATCCTCACATACGTGTCTCTCTTCTCCAGGTGTGACAGGGCAGTGTGTAGTGTCAGGGTTATGGCATCATCGGTGGACCTGTTGTGGCGGTATGCAAACTGTAGAGGGTCCAGTGAGTCGGGTAGTGCAGAGCAGATGAAGTCCTTGACCAGCTTCTCGAAGCATTTGCTCATGATGGGGGTCAGGGCTACAGGACTCCGATTGGTCCGTCCAACGGTGCACCGCCCTCATGGTTGGAGCTTCCTGTTTCAGCTTCTGCCTGTAGGCGGGCAGGAGCAGGATGGAGCAGTGATCTGATTGGCCGAATGGGGCGTGGGGGAGGGCTTTGTACGCATCCTGGGAAAGAGGTGTAGCAGTGGTCGAGTAGTCTCCACGAGTGTTGAAATGGATGTGTTGGTGGAGTTTTGATGAAACTTTCTTCAGGTTTCCTTTGTTAAAGTCCCCGGTCGTGATAAACGCTGCCTCTGGGTGTGCGGTTTCCTCACTGCTGATCGTGCTGTACAGTTCCCTGAGTGCTCGGTCAGTGTCGGCCTGTGGGGGAATGTAAACAGCCGTAATAATCACTGCTGTGAATTCCCTCGGTAGCCAGAATGGCCGGCACTTAATCATCAGGTACTCCAGGTCCGGTGAGCAGAAGGATTTGACCGGGTGCAGGTTCGCATAATCACACTAGCTGTTGTTGATCATGAAACACACCCCACTGCTTTTCCCAGTAAGCTCCTGTGTCCGCGCGGTGCACGGAGAACCACGGTAGTTGTATGGTGGAGTCCGGTACCTTGTCCGATAGTCAGCTTTCTGTGAGGCAGATCACGCAGCAGTCCCACATCTCTCGCTGGAATGAGATCCGTGCCCGAAGCTCGCACAGCTTGTTCTGCAGAGACTGCACATTAGCCAGTAATAAACTGGGTAGTGGTGGTCTGTTAGTGCGCCGTCTCAGTCGAACCAGAACGCCAGATCTTCTCCCTCTGCGTCGGCGTTTGCGGCCTCCAGGGGCCCAGAACAAAGGCGTCTCAGGTGAGATGAATGGGGGGTCTGCAAACGGAGGGTCCGTGTTGCAAAACTTGAACTCCGGAAAGTGATGAGAAAGTCTTTTATGTCCAGTAAGGTTTGTCGGTCGTACACAAGGCGTCGTGCTACTCGTGAATAAATAAAGGAAAAGTAAAATTAAACACAAAAAACAGCTGCTGCTTGGGGGAGCTCGCGACGAGGCTGCCATACTCGGCGCCATCTTAGATATTACACACCCTGAAGCTGTTTCACACTTCCTTGCAAAAACTCGAGAGGTGGTTGTTTTGTGACGTGTCGGGTTTCAACCTGCAGCATCAATAACCTAGAATCAATAATGATGTTCAGCTGCAGCTGTGTGAAGAGGAAAAGCAGAAGTGTTTCGTTGTTGGTGGATTTCACACCCATGTGTACTTCTGTGTTTGTGATGACATCATCCCCCCACCCCCCACGGTCCTCACACACTTCCCCTTCCTGCCCCTCCCAGGGCAGAAAGCAGAAGTTCAGCTTTTGGGAACATGAAACATGTTTCTGATGAATCGTCACTTTTAGTGTTTTCACCTCTGCCCCCTCTGCTGTTACCGATGGATCGACTGATCGGGTCTGAGTCGGTAGCTTTGGAGCAGTTTAGTGAAGATGTCTCTGAAACGTGACGGTGGTTTCGGTTACAGATGTGACTCACGCTGCCTTCACATCTGTATTGATAGCTGATTAATCACTCTGGCTGACCACCGGCCTCCAAGTATTTGATTGACTCATTTCAGAGTGGAGCCACTGATACTCAGCCCTGCACTCTGATTGGCTGGTGAAACAGTCTGTCTGCAGCCAATCAGAAGTCGTGGGTTTGAATCCGCTGGCTGTTCTCAGCAGGTGCTCCGGTCCCCTCACACAGCTGTCTCATCTGTTTGTCAGAATAAGGAGAAGGAGCGCCTGAAAGAGAGGGAGAAGGAAGCGAGAGAGAGGGAGGCGCGCTCCAGTAATGGCCACCTGTTTACCTCACTGACGGTGTCCTCCACCACCCTCTGCTCCTCCTGCAACAGGAGCATCACGGCCAAAGAGGCGCTCAGCTGCCCAGGTAAGCACACCTGTACAGAGGAAACTTTATTTATACCGTCGATTTACAGATTGATTGAACGTGTGTGTGTGGGGGGGGGGCGCTTGTCTGCTGTATGACAGACGGCGTGTTAATCCTCCTCACAATGAACAGATGTACCTCCGGATTAACACAGTCAGCTGGGATCAGTGTAACACAATAAAATCTCCTTGTTGAACACAACAGATTGGTCATGTGACCACATGTAGACCTCAGGAGCGGGTGAAAGAAGACTCACCCCTCGTCCCATCCCCCCAAGCCCCTCGCCCAGTGTGTGTGTGTGTGTGTGTGTGTGTCAGCCTACACACCTTGTTGTCCTGCACTCTGATTGGCTGCTGCAGATGCACCCTGAGAAGTGGGTCAAGTGGACTATGTCTACATGTGTGTGTGTGTGTGTGTACACAGACTTCAAGTCAAGTGGCTTTATTGTCATTCCAACCATGTACAGTGGTACAGTACAAGTGAAAGAGAAAGCGTTCCTCCAAGACCGCAGTGCTACAAATGACAGACAATCAACACAAGACAACATAAAGTGAAATTTGCCAAAACTGCAACAAAACAAAACAAAGACAGCAACACCAGACAGAGCAGGACGATACAGACACAGACAAGTCTTTGAGTAGAGCAGAGGTGTCCAACTCCAGGCCTCGAGGGCCGATGTCCTGCAGATTTGGCTAAATTACCTCCTCAACACGTTTTAAAGTTCTCCAGAGGACTGGTGATGAACTGATCGTTTGATTCAGGTGTGTTGACCCAGGGTGAGATCTAAAACCTGCAGGACACCGGCCCTCGAGGCCTGGAGTCGGACACCCCTGGTGTGGAGCAACTCAAAGACTGAAGAAAGTTTATAACAAGAAACTTACACGCCCAGAACACAGAGTATTTTTAACTGTGTGTGCGTTGTGGTTTACTGGCGACATCTGTGGAAAAAGTGAGGTCAGCACAGTGAACAAATGTGTGTCTTTAGCATGTAAGTGGTCTCTTTCTTGCCTGGTTTCTGCAGGTTCCAGTACCACTGTGGTAGTTGGGTTTCTCTCTCTCACTTCTCTTTTTTATTTGCACAGCATCAAATCACAACAACAGTGGCCTGAAGGTGCTTTATATTGTAAGGTAGACCCTACAATAATACAGAGAAAACCCAACAATCATATGACCCCCTATAAGCAAGCGCTTGGGTGACAGTGGGAAGGAAAAAATTCTTTTTAACAGGAAAAAGCCTCCAGGAGAACCAGGCTCAGGGAGGGGCGGGGCCATCTGAATCTTAAAACAGTTGTAGAGTTTCTGTTGGACTTCACAGAGTCCGGCAGCACAGCAGACTCTGTAAACTTCAGACTGTAAGAAGCTTGTGTACAGACTGTTTCCTGCTGGATTAATTGAAGGCTTTGCAGGGAGTTCCTGATAATAGTGCTGATAATAATGAATTACAGCAGTCCAGCCTAGAAGTAATAAATGCATGAACTAGTTTGTCAGCGTCTGTTCATTGTTTTGAATTTCAGAGATATACATTTTCATTGTATACCAAAGAAAATGTATGCTATGTCTTCTAATGATGCTGCCTAGGGGAAGCATGTATAATGTAAACAGAATTGGTCCTAGCACTGAACCCTG